CCCCCCCCCCCCCCCCCCCTTGGCCGTGATGATTTTCTGTCATCTGTCAGGCCATCGGCTGCCGTTTTGGTGGAGAACGGCGGTGGTATGGACGGAGACAGCTTGAGCAAGAACCCCTGGTCGAGAGATGTGAGAAAGACAAGAGCACCTTCCGCTGCTGCTGCTGCTGCTGTTGCTGTAGCTGTAGCTGTTGCTGTTGCTGTTGCTGTTGCTGTTGATTCCGGCGCTGTTAGTGTGGGTGGTGTGGCGTTTTTTCAAAGGATCTTCGTGTTTTTTTCTCCTCGACGGGAATTGGTTCGTACAAGGCCCCGGCGTTTGAAGAAACGCAAACAAATACAGAACGCCGTACGTGCGCATACGTTTTTTTCATCGGCCCGTCGGTTTGCTCGACCTGTTGTTATACATAAGCATCGGTGCCCTCCCCCCCCGTCGGGGGGGTGGGGGTGGGGGCACTTGCAGGACAAAAAATATGTCAATGGCACTTGAGTTTTTAATGTGTATGTGTGTGTTTTTTGTGAGCCGATTCGCGCCGTTGATGTTCGTTATTCAAAAGAATTCACGTGTATCGCACACACTTCTCCAGGAGGACGACTCTTTGATGAGGCTGGTTGAGCAGTACGGTGCCAAGCGGTGGTCGGTGATCGCCATGCATCTGCCGGGAAGGATCGGAAAGCAGTGCCGGGAGAGGTGAGAGCCCGTATCGGTTTATCTCTTCTGGCTGCGTGTCTATCTGTCCCTCTGTGTCTGTCTCTGTTTCTGTCTCTTGTGTCTTTCTCCCTCGTTCACTATACTAGTCAATAGAAGGGATTATACTCGTCAATAGAAGGGAATTTCTACAAAGGGTTACCGCCAGTACGGACGTCTAAAGCCCCGTTCTTGCCCTTTTTCTCCCCTCTTTTTCGGAGTGCTTGCCTGCATGGTACCCTGGAGACGTTTGTGGATGTGCCTCCGATCAGCAATGCTTGCGTGGAGCAGGGAGCAACGAAAGCAGCACTTCCAAACAAGCATACTTGCATACTTCCACAGGCATCGCCCCTCCCACGCACCAACTATGATATTGACAATTAACAAGAGCTACAGCATCATGATTCGTCTTGACCAAGTAGAGTACTAACGTCGGCACCAAACGCTCTCCACTACTATCGCCACCACCACACCAAAACTCTTTTAGTTCTAAAAAAAAAAAAATCACCGCCATTACCACCATCACCAACAACAACAACAGTTACACCCAGAAAAGAGCAGAACAAATGAGAACGATCGATTCATGACAACAGCGTATATATTTTTTGTTCTTCCTATTTGCTTGGTCCTTTTGCCGTTTGCAGATGGCACAACCACCTCAACCCGGACGTACGTAAGGATGCCTGGAAGCCCGAGGAGGACCTGATCATCTTCCAGTACCACCGAAGCCTGGGGAACCAGTGGGCCGAGATCGCAAAGCTTCTGCCCGGCAGGTAGAAAAACAGCCCTAGGCACATGGAAGACACCACCCACCCGCCAACCCTGACACAGATGCAGGGTCGTTCCGGGGGGGGGCGGGGGGTACTCATATCCGTGCATGCCGTAGTCGTTAGGCCATCGGCCTCGCATCCCTACGAATGCCGGGAGGGGTTGTATTCGGTCCTAGTTTCGTGGTATGTATTTGTCCGGAAAGCTGCCATGGATACATATATATATGCACGGATCGGGTTTTGATTTCACTTCATCGAACGGAGGGAACCTTTGTTTTTTGTCCGGTGCCCCGTGCTTGGTTTTGTGGGAGAAGGCGATGACGGTAGTGATATCGGATGCAACGCCTCTTTCTGTGTGTGGCCGGCCGTCAACTGACACTCTACTTTGCTACTTCACATCTGTTCTTTTTAGACCCCCCCCCCCCCCCCCAATTCTACCAACCAATGTTGACGAAAAAAATTACACCCAGAAAACCCCCCCCCCCCCCCCCCCCGAAAAAAAAAAGGGGGGAAAGGATTTCGGCAGGGAATATAAGCTAGGCCAAACATTTTTAACCCCCTTTAGCAAACTTAAAAAAAAAAAATTGCCCATCGGTATTTTTTCCTTGGGAAAAAATCCCCCTCCCTTTGGAGGAGGAGTGGTAAATTTTTAAAAAAAAAAGCCAAAAAACCCCCCCCCCCCCCCCCCCCCCGAAAAAAACCAACAAAAAATATTGCCCCCTGCTTCCCCCCCCCCTTTCCCCTTCCCATGAAACCAGGCCCAAAAACCCCACCAAAAATCGGTATTACTAAACCATGCAAAGGCCCCAAAGCCAGCCGTTTCGAAAAGGGGGCCCAGGGGCAATCCCCCCGCCCCTCCCCAAGAGGTAGGGGTACACAAACAACCCGTTTCTTCTCCTTCCTGTGTTTGGGGGGGGGGGGGGGGGTTGTATGCTGGTCGTGCGTGTCCTCTGTTGTATGAGTGTGCGTTTGTGTCTTGTTAGCATCGACCGCGCTAGCCGGCTAACCAATGAAATATGCCAGTCTCAGTGCGGCTGAAAACAGGAAATGCTTCTAAAAGCCATGGTCTGGGACACCGTGAGGTGTGTGTGTGTCTTTTTCATTGGCGTCTACCGCGCCATCCGGCTGACCAATGACATGCCGCTGCTTCTACTGTGGTCGTCGTCGTCGTCTTTATTGTTGTTGTTGTTGTTGTTGTGGTCTTCATGGCACTATAAATAGCTGATTATTTCCAATGAAAAGCGTTCTATTTTCTTTACTTTTCTCGGCTCGTTTTTCTCAATGCGGTGCCCCCCCCCCACCCCTACCGCTCTCAACACCTCTTTTGCTTCCAGCGGCGAGACTGACGGGGCCCCGCCCGTACCGGGGGTCGTGGCTGCCGGCCCCGACGGAGGCGTGCCGCCAGGGATGGGGGGGGATGTTTCCAGTCTCGCAGGAGACGCCAATGAGGCGGCGAGGTGAGGAACTGCTTGCTGCTGCTGCTGCTGCTGCTGCTGTTGTTGTTGCGATGGTCGGCGTTGTTGTCGTGTCTGGTTGTTGTTGATGATGTTGGTGTCGTTGTCATTGCTGCGGGTTTGGCGCACCCTGCCCTGCTATTGCTGTTTTTACGGTACTACTGCTGTTTTTACAGTACTACTGCTGTTTTTACAGTACTACTGCTGTTGTACAGCAGTCGCACCCCTCTACTTTTTCGATGCCATATTTTTCAGACCATTCCTTCCGTGTGTGCTTGGAGGAAATCCTTGCCGACACAGTAGCAATCTCGTCATCAAAGTCCCGTATACCCTACCAGACCCCTTACCGATCTTACCCCGGTTATACTTTGTGTGTACGCTATCCGTTCCTACCTAGTACTGTATCCTGAACCAACCCTGCTTGTACGTACCTGCCGTGCTGGGTGCTGGTATATGGTATGTTCGTGTGTACCGTTCCTGTCCTACTTATTGTCCCACCCGATCCGACCCGGGCATAGTGTGTGTGTACTACCCTCTTAACGTCCCAGCACACGTCCTGCTCTGCTGGTATGTCGTACTTTCGTGTATGCCCTATCGTGTCCTACCGGTCGTCCCACCCGATCCGACCCCGTTGGTGGGGGTTGTACCCCTCAACATCCTAGCATACGTTCTGCTCCCCTGGTGTGTATGGTATATGTGCATGTATGTTTATTCAGACTGCTCAAGGAGGCGGCGAATCTTCGGAGGCAGGCCGCGATCCAGGAGGGAGGGGACGCCGGAGCCATCCGGCCGGAGATGGTGGCCGACGCTCAGGCCAAGGCCGAGGCGGCTGCCGGAGCTCTCGCGGTTGGCCGCATGGGCCAGGTTCGTATGCATACACATGGCAGTTGCGGCTTCGGTAGAAATAAGAGTCTTTCTGTTTGACGATGTTTGTTACGAGACATTTGGTATTTCAAAGAGCGCAATAGTAGCTTGTCGCTGCCATAAGAGAAACACAGAGTGTGTTGCATACTCTATGGGTTTTGGGGTAGGAATCGGAGTTTGTAGAGTGATACCTTCTCTCTGTTACACCGTAGCTGCTAACTCTACACATGTACGGGCGCTTGTGTCTTTGGGGTTGGGGCACCGGCGTGTTGGGCGGGCAGGTGGGTGGGTCCCCCATCGTTACTTGCGTTCACGATTCGCCAACCCCGTATCGCGCTGATTGTACCCCCGAAGCGCTGCGCCCCTCGCCCCTAGGGGGTTCCCCCCCCCCCCCCCTGTCTACTGAAAAGGCGGGAAGTGATATCGATAGGACAGGGAAAAGGTTTCTGAGCCACCCTTGGCAAAGTAGGAAGGAACGATTGGCCATCGGTGATGGGTATTGTGGTAACAATGGTCGGTCCTCTCGGGGTCGTGACCAATGATTTAACCAACCGCTCAAAAGGCATGCAAAACGTGAGTACCACCCCCGCCCGTCGGCCGCCTGGCCCCTCAGACCCCCTCCCCCGCCACTCCGCCCCTGACCACTACCACCACCATCGGCTTTTCCGGCGCCAAAATAAACGTTCCAGGTGCGCGACCTCGCTCAAGCGGCCGCAGCTCAGGCCGCGCAAGCCGCCGCCCTCCACGCGGCATCGAAGGGCGCGGGGGGGGGGACGGCGGGCGCCGGGGCCAACGCGGGGGCGGGGGGAGCGGGGGGGGGCCTCAATCTCACCGGAGGAGGAGGAGGGGGGGGGGGAGTCAGCGGGGTTCTCCGCAGCTCCCGGGGCTT